GCTTTAAAGGTAAAACCGCACAGACTCTACATCCATCAAAATCTTCACTGACCTCCATAGATGATGCGCACAGTGTCGGCTACTTCATCTGAGACGTTGCCTCTGAGCCACGCCCTCAGCTTTTCATGGACCTCCTGAGCCTGGACACACACACACACACACACACACACACACACACACACACACACACACAGTAGATGATCAAATAAAACAATGTTTTTCATTCTTGTATGACCAAAACACATTTTAAACATTTGCCTCTTTCCTTCACTGTGAGATAAAAGGTACAAACACTTAACATTTGCACTGAACTCTTACAGTCGGTTACTAAATATTTTTTATATTAAAAACAATTGCAGTGATGAGCAGAGGAAGAGTCAGTGTTACCTGTTCAGGTGAAGCTGTCTTGCCTGTGCCGATGGCCCACACAGGTTCATATGCCAGCACCACCTTCCCCCAGTCCTTCACGTCTCTGCGACACAACAACACGCCCCAGCAGTCAACAACTGTAAACTTTTCATGACAATTTTTATAACCAGGAAGGATTTCCCAATATTTAACATAATGATGTTTCCATGCAAGCACTGATACTGACGTGAAATAGCCTAAAACAGAGAGCAACTCTTTCACAGAACAACGGAAGAGAAACATTTATACTAAACAGCTGATATGATGAGGTCTGCAGTGAGTCTCCAGTACTTTCCCCTGTTAAGAGTTTCCGAGGGAAGACATTTAAATTGATTATTTGCCGCACAATAACAGAGTAAGAACCAACTTTAAGGCAGAGCAGCTCTGCACATATCAATTCTGTTACTTGCTTTCTGAGATCTCAGAAGAGGAAATCTTGCCCTAACAGAGCAAGAAGACTATGTCTCAAGAAATTTCCCCACAGCAGAATCCACTAACCTATTTGCATTTTAAATTAGCGTATAGCCTAATTTGAGTGCAGAAGTAGGCTACTTGAGGCAAGGAAAGATCATCAATAACATCCTGTAATATCTGACTGCAGACTGAGTGGTTACAGAATACAATCTGCTGTAGTTTCTCTACCACAGCATATACATGAGGACTGAAGAACTGGCCACAAATTGAGAATATTATTAATGGGTATCGTTGATTTTCAGAAATCCCATGGCAATGAGATGTTCACCCACATCTGATTAGAAGTCGACCGATTAATCGATTGTTGGCATTTTTTAACATAATCGGCATCGGCCAATATCCAAGTATATCAAGCCGATTATTAGGCAGGCGCATCTGTGGGCAGCCTAGTGTTGTCGTGGAACACATGTTTGACGCGCGCTGCCGCTAGAGTCATTTTCCAGCCGATGAGCAGCAGACCTCATCCAGTGCCTAAGGAGCTAACGGTAAGGATTCAATTCTTATTACTCCTTTATATTTAATTAAAAACTTTTGATATATTACTGCCAACTTCGAGAAAAAACCTGAATAAGACACATGACATTCGGCTAATTTGGAAGTAGTTGAAGTTGCATTATCACAGAAGAGTTGCTATCATGTCACAATAAGTAAGCAATAATTTTGCAATTACAGAGTGAATCTGAGACTTTTATTTGTTCTGTTTGTGTGTCTTATATTTGAGAGGTTGTCACTCAATGCAGAGAAATAAGTAATAAAAAAGAGACCAACTATAGGCTAGTGACAGACTGGCTTTGCTTTGCTAACGGGTAGCTACAGACAGACCCGGTGCTAATACGGCACTGGAACCTTAACGACCGTTATCTACCGCACCGAATATCAACGCGGATTTCTGTGCTTCAGTTCGGTGCAAATAGAGGTTAAAAACCAAGCAAATATCGGCCAAAATAAATCGCAGCATTAATCGGCCATCGGCCGACCCGGATTTCAAAAGATCGGTATCGGTATCGGCATCGGCGTGAAAAAACCATATCGGTCGACCTCTAATCTTGATAATTTTCAACTAAAGAAGTAAAATAAAAAAAAAAGATGTATTTTGGTGTGAAACAAGCGACAAACAAAAAAAACCCCAATGAATTTGCTTCATCAGCAGCAAAACAGTAACTCCTGCGACTAAGACTAACATAATAATACAAAAAGGAAATATTTTTTATGTACTGTAATATAAATTTAAAAATTAAAAGAGTTAAAGAAAAGGGAAAAGAAAATAATGAACATACACATAAGAAAATTTTAAAAGAAAAAGTACCAAGAGAAAAAAGAAAAATTATATAGAATAATAAAAATAAAAAGGTAAAAACTTTTTTTGTTATTTCCTTTCTTTACCTGCAATGACCTGCGTCTGAGCGTAGACGACTTCTTCTGTGGTGCCTGCCTCCCGCTCCTCCAGCTTCTCGCCGATGCAGGCGATCACACCCAGATCGCTCTCCAGAGCGTGAGCCACCTGAGGATCAACCACAGACTCAGATCTTTACCTGATATGTGCAACATGTTACACACAGACAGGTTTTAATTCACCTAAATAATGAACGTAGTAAATGTATTGGACTTGGAATTATCTAGCTTCAGACTGCCCGGCTTGACTATAAAGGCAAACAGCTGAAGGGAGCAAACCTCAGATTAATATGTTTGAAGCTGAACATTTGCAGGTGCGGCTGCTGGCATCAGAATAAAATGGACCACAATTTACAGTCAACATACATAAAGGAGCATCTTCTATCTATCCAGAAGCTAATTTTTCCCTGTAACCACACAAATAATCTGATGCACAGATTCCATATTCATGTGCAACTTCCTGTTTTTATTGACTCAAATAGTTGTTGTTCCATTTTCCAAAGCTAACGTCTACTGAACATTTTTAGATGAGTGTTTTGAGACTGAACAATGTCCAAACACACGAGTCAGCCAGTGAAAAAACAGCGGGACAAAGTGTCTCACCTTCTGGCCAATCAGCTCGTCACCTTCCCCAAAGACATGACGGCGCTCAGAGTGTCCCAGGACCACCCATTCTGCCCCACAGTCCTTTATCATGGCCGGACTGGAGGGACAGGAAATATGTTAAAGATGCAGAGGATTACATGTGATGTACAAAATCTGACACTTCTTTAATCTGAATTTTGTTTTCATATCTTATTTGGATTTTACATGTTTAAAATTATTAATGTCTTTACATATTTTTCTGTGAATGTGAGGATTTAATTCTATTACGATATCCTAAATTACATAAAGTTATGTGAATATGCATCAGCCTATACAGTAAAATAAATAGGATGCATCATAAATAGTTCACGAGTGTTTTCATTCAGAGACTGTGGGATACCTGATCTCCCCTGTAAACGCTCCCTTGGCCACCTTGTAGCAGTTCTGGGCTGCGACACCTATTCTGGGATCCAGGTTAGACCGAGCAAAGTCCAGGTAGATGGAGGGAGCAGCACACACCACCTCTGAAAATAAGACCAAAAGTGTATGTTTGCTTTCAAGCTCATCATGACTTTAATTCCATCTATGTCTGAGCTGAGACTTTCTTTCTTTCCTTCCAGTCCAACGTTGATGCTGGTATATACAAAGAAAATATAAAAACTGAAATGTTAAGTGTCAGGATAAGCAGTAGTGGGATAGATCCTTTACTTAAGTAAAAGTATGCACTGTTTGTCTGTGATCTTTGTCATTTCTTTTCTCTTCTTTTAAATATTTGTTATATAGTTTGGGGAGTAGAAGTGATTTAATTAAAACCATCTGAGAAGAACTCACAGACAGCTGATCTATGACGGGGCCCCAAGACACTGGGGTCAGAAGCCCAGATACACTGTGTATATATCTGTGGAGTGGAGTAGAAAGTACAAGAAAATTTGTTAAGAACAATTTTGAGGTACTTGTACTTAAGTAGAGTATTTTCTTTCCAGATACTTTATATTTTTCCTCCACTACAATTATTTGACAGCTTACGTTACTTTTGCAGATTTAGATTATTAACACAAAATATAACTGAATAATATTGATATAAAGCTACCCAGCAGTATACAGTAAGTTATAAATGAGTTCCACCTTTACCAGCTGCAACATTAAAATGATGTACACATTTATGTATCACTACTTCAATAAATAATATAACAAACATGATTCTGAAACTGTGATATTGCTACTTTTACTCAAGTAAAATATCTGAATACTCCCTCCACCACTGGTGGGAGTAAATTGAAAAGTACCTTAAAAGTAAAGTCAAGTACAGTACTTGAGTGTATGTACTTACTTACTGTCCACCACTGACGTTACACAAACACGTCAGAGGCCTTTATGCGACTCATCCTGATCACGTGACCCCCAATGTCACAGTGTCATTTGAGCAGCGGCATCTTCCCTCTGTCTGTGTGGCCTGATCGATTACTCTTATTTATCTCTGCTCTGCAAACCCTGCTGACAGCTAATCTGCTGTATATAAACCTGCAGACACGCTAATCTCTCAGTTACCGGTCTGGTCGTGCAGGCTGGCGGTGTTGAGCGTAGTCATCAGTTCTCCCAGACTCTCCTTGTCCCCGTTCATCTTCCAGTTTCCTCCCACGAAGAACCTCCGGAGCGCCATGACCGGCTGATGGTGGCAGGTACCCGGTGAGGAGAAGTGAAGCTTGAGGTCTCGGAGGATCAGTTCAGCTGCAGGATGACTCTGGCTGCTGTGTACGTCAGGTGCTGTGGGAAATATCAAAACCCAACACCGGCCAACGTCCCTCTTCTTCTTGTTCAGCGTTAAACAGCTTTATGGTGCATTACCGCCACCTGTTGTTGAAATGTTGTCCTCTACGAAGGATGAAATCTCCCTCTGCACTGACAGTGATTTGTTCTTTACTTTAGTATTTTCCTTTTGTACTTGAAACTTCCACTTCCACCATATTTCTGAAGGAATACTACTTTTGACTCCACTACATTTATTTGATGTAGTTACTAGTTACTAGTCATAAATGATTCATGAAAATAAAAGTCAACCCTTTAATGGCCCCACCCACTCCTAAATCAACGGAAATTCTCTTATCATCATCAATATAACGCATTTCTTTCTTACTTTGGGCATAAACACAATGATTGATGATTTTCAGTCACCACAGGTTTTTATTTATGAGCCTCCACCAAATGGTTGAGCTTTACAGTAAATATGCCCTTGTAACAGTATGCATAGGTTAGATTTGACCCCATTAAAGTGAAATAAAAGAACATTTTAATTACACATCTGATTACTAGGTAAAACCCAAGAAAAAAGATTTTACATTTTTTAAAACAATATATATAGAAATGCTTGATGGTCACGGAAAAATGTATTATTTTGTGCACTTTTACAATGATATGATGTTGTGATATGGTGTTGTACTCTGTGTGGAATTAGGCCACTGTCTTGTTTTCCGTGTTAATGATCTGTTGTTAAAAAATCATGCTCTGAGGAAGTCAACAGTGGTAGAAAGTACATTTACTCAATTACTGTACTAGTATTGAGTTACTTGTATTTCCATTATCTGCTACTTTATATTTTTTCACATCTTTAGTTACAGTTTCTTTGCAGATTCAGATTTATAATACAAAATATTACCAACAAATACATTATGATGCACTAATATTGGTCTCTGGGAAGAAATTCACAAACTACTAAGCTGTATATAAAGTAATCAACACGAGCTCCACATTAAACAATAAAGTGATGAACACATTAGTGCGTCAATATTATGAATCCAGTAACATAAATGGTCCATTCTGCAGATTGAGTATTTTGGTACTTTAAGTATATTTTAATAATACTTTTGTACTTTCACCTAAGTAAAATTTTAAACCTAAATGCTATTGTCAAAACCTTCTCCTCACCTTTGGTGGGAAAATACTGGATTCATTTATAATTAATATTTGTTTGGTATAAAATAGACACATTTACAACATTTAACATATATAATAACCTAAAAATACTGAAATCAGTTAATAAAATATCCAGCAATTGTTAGATTTTGTCACAAACTTCCAGGATGCTGAAATCTCTCAAATCACAGAGTGATGTATGATGTTTCTCTTTTATTACAATTTGCATGATGTTCCAACTCTGACAGAATAAAATACTAGAAAAAATTCAAAAGATAAATCGTAAACATGAGGTTTTGGTGTCCATCCCATAGAATGACAAAGTGCATCAACATTTGTATGTCCCCCCTGATGTTGTGTACAGGTGTGAGTCATGCTGCTGATATGAGCTGACCTTACAAATGAAACTTCCCTCCAGACTCACTTGTCCTCCAGAGCTCAACAGCTGCAACAGCAGGGGCACATTTTATTTTTTACTTGAACATGTAGAAAATAAATTATCATGAATGTAATTCTTTCTAAGAATAAGGTACACACTAGCACACACAAACATGTGGACTCTGACATGGTGGTAATGCAGAATTCTATGTTTATTAGAAAGATTTTCAACAAACATTTGTCTTTTTACAGAGGAACTGCACAAATGTAAATATACTACAAAATGCAGCTGAACCCAGTGGAGTAAAATAAAGTTTACAGGTCTTTACAGAGTGTTTCATAGTTCTGACCGCCAACCTCAAACCTTTATTCGTCTGTGTACATCATCAGATTAACACAGTGAGACGGGGAAACAGCAGCGGCCGTCTTGGCTCAAAGTCTGCTGATTGTTAGCAGGCGACCAAATATGGCAGCTCTACCATACACATAAACTCAGGATTTATGCAGCCCCCCCCCAAAAAAGAAAAAAAAAACACACTGTACATCAACTCTCCATCCTAAAACTATAAAATACAAATATATTGATATCAGACTTTCATCTAAATAAGTGCCGGGCTCTTTTACAGGTCCAAGACAATAAAAATAAATCTGTAATCCTACAGCATTCTTTTCAATATTTAAGTGTTCTTTCTTTTTTTATGGTCAAAAATCTATGCGTTTAATTGACATTCTCAGTTAGAGCTTCTTCTCTGCTCGTTATCATTTTGAATAATGTGCTATTTTTTAATGTTTTTTAGTGTTCATCTCAACAACAATAAACCTCCCTTGTACATACAGCGTGATGCATCGTGCACTGTTTACCTGATGCCATTTATGCAACGTGACTCACTCGCAACTTCTCATATTTTGCATTCATGAATGGGGAAGAAGTAGAAAGAGAGAGTGAAAGAGAGGAAGATCTGTGCCCAAACATCTGCACCAAATATCTTCCAACCTCACTTGTCTCTAGTCCCCACCCCCTCCTCTTCTCCTCCATATCTTCACTCTTTTCCTCCCCCTTTCCACCTCCTCCTCTCCCCTTCTTCCTTTCCCTCTTCCAGTGTTTTCCTCTGCCGGGACACCTCAGTTCCACAATTTGAGGAAGCTGTCCCAGGATCCTGTGCAGACGCCCATACCGTCTTCTGGGACGCCGGTACAGCTCACCCTGTTGTCATGGCCGGACAGTACACCTGGAGGAAGTGAGGAGAGCAGAGGAGACATTATTCAAAAGAAAGGAATGAAAGGAAAGGAAAAGAACATACAGACAGAAAAACAAAGAGGAGAGAAATGGAAACAGATGTGAGGGAATGGAAAGAATGAAAAGAAACCAAAGGAAAAAAGGGAAAAGAAGAGGAGGGAGCATGGGCAAGAGAGAAGAGTAAAGAAAGGTGAAAAGCAATGAAAAGAACATTGAAAGGGAAGGAGAGGACAGGGAAAAAAACATACAGTGCGTTAGCGCCACCTACCTGTTGCAAGTTATTTAAACTTTTTATGAAACAATGAAAACATTGTAGGTACATAAAGAGTGAGAATTTAATACTTTCATTATTGATGTTTTTCATGATGATTAGCCTTGAAAACATTTTATAATCTCAGCTTCTTTCCTTGTGTTATCTTCAAATCCTGAATATATAAACTCACCAACTTTCTCTCCCTTCAGTGAGTCCCAAATGTGGCAGTTGAAGTCATCATAGCCGGCAAAGATGAGGCGGCCTGAGTTGGAGAGAGCCACAGACGTGACGCCAGCATTCAGGTTGGTGTCCTGGTAGGTAATCACCTCCTGGTCGGAGCGCAGGTCGTACATCTTGAGGCAGCAGTCGTCGGAGCCTGTGATGATGGCATTTCCTCCAGGGAAATACTGAGGTGGGGAGAGATGAAGAACGGTGTGTTTTTATTACACCACCGTTCAAAAGTTTGTAATTGGTATAAAAATTATATTATTTCTGGTATGTGTCGTGTGATGCTTAGTGGGTTCCTCACAGAGATGGCGTTGATGTCACTGGTGTGTCCTGAGAAGGTCTGCTTGCAGGTCCCTTCCCTCAGGTCCCACAGCTTGGCCAGAGAGTCACAGGCTCCAGAGATGAAGGTTTTCATGTCGGCGGAGAGAGCCAGAGACATGCAGTCTCCAATGTGGCTGGTGAAGATGATTTTCTGCTTACCAGTCTCCAGGTCCCACAGACAGCTGGAGAGGACAGGTTAGGAAGTGCGTTATAGATGAAGGAGTTCAAGGAAAAGAAGGAATGAAAGCATCCAGTCTGATTATCTTTGGGTCTGTTTGGATTGAGTGTGACGTCTTTGGATCAGGGCTCATTGTTGTGACAATGTCATATCTGGTCCAAAATTTTAAATCTATGAAAACCTTGACTTTCAAGTATTTAAGACACAAGACCTATGTTGCTAACCTGCAATAACAGGATTAGTTCAATGTTACTTTTCAGAGCCCTCCTGAGGGACCCAATTGAATGCCAATAAGTAGCTCCATAGCGTTAGCACACATTATGTAAAGAGAAAACATGTTGGTGAAGCACTGCTCAGACAAAAAACTGAATTTTCTCAACTAACACCTGGAAATGCAGGAATCAAATGTAGGGTAATGTCTAAAATGTACTATTTTATTCTGCAGCACTGAGTGTGACTGTCTGCTCTGCTTATATTAGAACACTGACATGACTGCTTTATGCAAGATTTGATGGGCTGAATCAAATAATGGTCCCTATCTACGTAGACGGATACCAGAACAGCAGTCTGTCAAATGAGTGTAAAACTTCGGGGATGCCATCATGAAAACAAATAATGTAAAAAATGTAAATAAATTAAAAAAAATTCTCAAAGGACAACACTTATTCACAGAGCAAGTATGTTGCTGCAGACAGTCGTCAATGAAAAACTCACCAGGTGGTGTCACCGGATGCTGTCAAGATCTCAGTGTCACTAAGGAAACGGGAGCAAGACAGGTAACCTGGGTGGGAGAAATAGTTTTTTCAACATCACTTAATTTCTTACTATGCTTTTCTGTGACATGAACTTCATTTTGATGTTTCCCTGAGCACATTTTTTAGCCATTTAGGGAGGCAAAATGGTGCAGGTGCCATCCTCACCTGTGTGTGCGTCCAGCTCCCTGAGGGTCTTGGGGCTGGCAGCCTTGACGTTGTACACTGTGCACATGTTATCCAGACCACCGCTGGCCACCAGGTTACCAGAGGGGGCGAAGGCAACACTCATCACCCAAGCTGACTTTAGTGGGACAGCAACCAACTGGGAAGCAGAAATTTTGTTTCGTTGAAAAACAACCTCCTTCAAATGTTTACATGCATGGCTGCATGTAGCCACTGGTTGCAGATATTTTCTGTCCGGTATCAATATCCTTAAAAATGAACTTTTTGCGGCATAAAATTAAAACCAGTCAATGTTCTCACCATGATTTTATTCCTGACAAGGTAGAAACAGAAGTTAAACCATCTTTGAATACTTTACTCACCACTGAAATCCAATTATTT